AACGAGATGTTCAACAAAAACACATGGTTGTGATGGTCAGATGTCCAGAAACCTTTGGCCATATAGTGTATATATTTAGCCTGTGGGAGGTGTTGTCTCCCTCTTGTCCTGCCTTTTGCACGCCGTTTGGAAAGTGTAAAATCACTGTAGCAAAAACCCTAGCCCTAGCCAAACCCTAAGCATGGGCAAACCTTGGACATTGCACAGTCCTAACACTTGGCAAAACTGTAACCCTAGGCAAACCTTTACCATAGCCCAAGCCTAATTCTAAGCAAACACTGACTGTAGTTATCCTTAAGACAACCCTAACTTTAAACATAGCCCTAAGCCTTACATAATCTTAACTCTAACTTAATGTCACTGTAACCCCAACATAATGACAGCTGGTTTGACTGCTATCCCACTTCTTTGTTTAAAAAAAAAAAATCGTCACCATTTGTTATTTTTGTATCATTTTATTGTGATTTTTTTGTACATTTTATTCATTTTGTTTACAATTCCACATTTCTTGCACCAACATCAGCGCTCTGCTAGATCAGAGAGATACTCCTATCAGTCTAATGAATGATTTTCACATTACTGACTCAGCTGACATGAGACTAATCTGGAGACTCAGGTAAGACTAGCGAGGCAAGCCTGAGTCAGTCCTCTAGACGACAAACCTAAGAAAAGACAAAACGCTGACATTTGTTGCCCCTGCCTTAGTGGCTCTACCACTACAGTGTTTAATCCTAGCTGCATTTAAACCCTGTCTAACCCTGCATCCCCGAAACCACTTTCACTCTCACGATCTGGGTTAGCAGTAAGACCTTTTCCGATATAATGGTGTGTTTGAGTTAAAATAATAAATAATAAATTAAGCCTTGCTGAAGAAGTCCAAACTATACAGAAGCCATAAATACTCAAACCAGGGATCTATTTTGCAAATAGGCTCTTCAGTTTCGTTTCAGATCACCAACTTGCGAATTGCATGTGGAGTGAATCTACACAGTTAGCTTTTAAAGACTCATTTACATTTACAATTAGCATTCCCTGGCTGCATGGTTTAGCTGATTGGTTCATATATCAATTTTGGCAAGACAAAATAATCATTCCATATAACAAAACATAACAAAAATGCATTTGATGGATAAAATTTGAATTTACAGGGGCAGGGCTATATCTCACAGCTGTAGATGGCAAATGTCTTCAAGAGTTTACACGTGAAATAAGAGTGGCCCATGACAGAAGGATGGTTGACCTGGAAATGCTTAGATCCAGTAAGTGCATAGGATTTCCAAATGATTGTACAGGTCAGACAAGAGCATTGCTAATTACTGGAAGGCAACCTCAGATCCATCGCTGGGAGTTACTGAAGATCTTTGCTGTCTGTGATGCATAGAAATCTCTAGTACTAACTCTTAGGGCTCAACTCTTAAAAGCATGAATCTCCTTTTCACTGAATCCCTGCTGCTTGACCAGCCTGTAAGAAGATAAACCACAGAAAGATACGACAGATGCATGGTGGTCAGAAGAACTTAAGAGACAAACTCTTTTTAAAATTTCATGACAGCAGTTAAAGTCTGTTTATTTTTAATGCTGATGTGTTATAGCAGGACCTCATGAAGAAGCTGATGATTATGTCTAATACTGTATGTAATATGTAGTTCAGTGTTAAAACTTCACACACAAAGGATTACAGATACAGTGTGCATCTGTGCGAGTGAAACAAGGTGTAGGCACAGGAACAGACTGGAATACTTACTGCACTGCCAGCTCAGTGAAACCAGTTGGCCCACACACACACACTAAGCTCTTGGAGTCTCCTGGTCTTTCCATGAAAGCCTGCAGCACTGTGGCATCTATTCGTCCTCTTTTGCCTGTCCATGAGCCCACAGGCTCTGAGAGAACGTATTCAACCTGAAATCTGACAGAAGGCAGGATTAAGTGCTTCTGTGCTCAAGCAAATGTGAGTATGAGCGGTGCGTGCACAGTTTATAAGTCATTATGTTAATGGACCATGCAACAAGTCGCTTATTGCTGAGTTATTAACTAGAGTTAAAGGCCCATACCTCTCTTCCTCTGCACACAGCTGCTCCAGCTGAGAGTACCACAGGATGTCCCTCTCTTGACGATTGAAGAACATCAGCTTGGTCTTCCTGAGGGGGCAATGAAATCATCATTAAGCAACAGAAAAAGCCAAACCTATGTGAGAAATTTTAGGATCATATCATTGTCAATACAGACCTTTTTTTTTTTTTTTTTTTTTTACAGTGAATTCTTGATAAATACAATAACAGCTCTAATATTGGAAGCATAAATTCTTAGATGTATCATAATAGCCTCTTAAAGATTCTGTTTCACTGCATAAGAGATATATGCTCAAGGACATGTCCTGTGATTAAAACAGAGGAGTCTGTAATTTTAAAATACGCAGGTTTGTTATTTTCTTATAACAGGACACTTAATGGTAATATATTAGGCCTGGTGTTTTTTTCCATGGTAGATTAAATTTAATATACTAAAAAAAGATCTATTATAAAAGATGAAGTAAGGTCCATAAAGGATTGTTTTATAATTGCACCAGTTATTCCTGAAAGTGCTGCACAGTTAGGTAACTGCGTGTGGGTGTGTGTAGCATGTAACCTGACAGACGGCAGGTCCTGTAAGGCAAGGCAGAGGAGGCGAGCCATGGGTGTGAAACCAGTGCCAGCAGCTAAGAGGTACAAATGAGTGACATCACGCAGACTCCTGAGTGTAAAAGGACCCTCTGGACCACTCATGGACACAGAGGCTCCTGACAGAGAACAAACAATTTACAGGTGAATGGACAATCATAAATACATACAACTGTAAATTTACATTTTATTTGTAGAAGTAAAGAAGTCTTGAGTGAGTGGACAATTAACGGTAAATGAATGAATGACTTTCAGAATGAACGCAAGCAAATACTTGTAAAAAAGTGTATGAATGTTCTTGAATAGAAAGTACATCATGAATTGTTTTGTTTGTTTGCATGTTTTTCTGTTTCTTATGTTCTGTAAAGCTGCTTTGAGACAATGTCCATTGTTAAAAGCGCTATACAAATAAAACTGAATTGAATTGAATTGAATTCTGCCATGCATGTCCTCAAATATGTACAGTAAAACCACCGGGATTAACAACACACACACACACATACACACACACACACACACATACACACACACACACATACACACACACCGATGTCAAGGTTGTCCAAATGTTGTGTGAACGCTCCATCAGGATAGACTTTAATCATCAGATAGATTTCAGAGCCCAGTGTGTTGCTGGAGTGAATCTGGGGCATGAGCACCTGGTCTACTGGTGTGTAGGGCTTTACAACATCACTGCCTGTTCATAAGAAAACATACGTTTAGTTTAAGTAAGCTACACTTGAGCACAGTACTTGATGAAGTACAGTTTGTATAAGAATAGTTCTAATTCTGAAGTACAGATATATTTGCTATGCATAGCCTTTAGCTGAGCTAGTAATTGAGGAATTACCCTGAAACGAAGCTTTGAGGTAGACATGTCTCCCCACCGGGATGTGCATGTGTGTTCCAGGAGGTAACCGGAAACAGAAGAGCTGCGAGTCGTGTGTAACTTCCTTCTTTGAAACCAATACACAATCTCTGTAGAACGGCCCTGAATTCCCAAAACAAATTTCACAGCTGCTTTCACTCAACTGATCTGCATCCAAAGTTATTGATTCATTACATAGTTTTTCATTCAGACATGGAACAAAAGCCAGGCAGCTGACTCACCCCGGTGTTTACTCTGAATAAATGAATCATGGGATTCTAGGGGTTGACCCACTTGTGCCCACTTGGCTTTGAGCATCTTGCGCAGGCACACCTCAACCTTCCCAACCGAACTCGCTGTCTGAACTGCCATGACATGAGAGGACAGAAAACTGTTAGGACACATCAAATCTAACCTCAAGTACTGATATTAATTTGGGTATGCATTGTTATGAGCTTATGAATTTCATTGTGAATGTTTTAACTCTGGACAGTGGTGGTAGGTTTTGTATAAGCTGGAGCTACTAGTGAGCAAGAGACTCTACATGCTAATGAGACTCTTTCCGGCTGTTTTCACTGTCCATACTCTGTCTTTAACTGAGCTCTGCACTGACAAGCTTCATTGCCTGCTGCCAATGACACTGCAGACAAACGCAGTCTTCAGTAACCATTTCCGCTTCAGTAGATAAAGAAATCTGCTAAACACCGGAGTCGCATAATAAAAATAAGAAAAAGAATCACTTACCTATAACATTTTCTTCTACTTCATAAGAAAGACCTAAAAACACATTAAATACTGTATGTAAAGATATAATACAAGCAGGTGGTCTTAACAATGCTGGACTTGAAGAAAAAAAAAAAATCCACCCTGAAAAACTTGCATATTAATCTTTATAAGTACCATGTGATCTTCAATGCCATTCAATTCATTGTGTAATAAATTTTTTTTTATTTTAAATTTTTTCGTCGACATGTTGATCTCCTTTCATGTTGGTTAATCGTTTCCTACATTACCCACAATGCCTTTTGACTACCTGCTGACAGTGGTGCCAGGGGCCAATAAAATCTATCTTAACAGACCGGTGCAGCAGCTCTTTAATCCTTTAGTCTGTCCCGCTCTCTCACCTCCTCATCTTATTCAGTCTGCTCATACAAATCAGGTTCCAAAGCGTCACCTTTCATGCTAATACTGCCATCAACACCATCTCATGGATCACTAACTGGATGCCGAATATTTGCCGTAACTCAGAGCAACTGCGCCATATGACTGCATTCAATTCTCTAACTCTGAGTACTGTCTGCTGTCTCCACTAGTTCTGTGTTGGATTTTTCATTATGTATCCCTGGGAAATGGTGAGTGACAAAAGAAGTTCGTGCTCCTCTGTTCTCTGTTTTGCTAACAGCAAAAATTACTTATTACTTATGCTTGAGATCATTTACATTTTTTTATATCCTATTAACCTGTGCTAAGAATGGTCCCTGGAGGACTAGTGGTTAGGCCTTGGCCTGGTCATCGCCACAGCCCGGGTTCGATTCCCAGCCAGGGAACCGAACAACGTAACCCTATGACGTCAGTGCAACACACAGCCATCAACATCTCTCATAAGAATAAATAAAATACAGCACCAACCAATAAAATTAGCACCAGAATCACATCATTTCAATATAAACATAGTCAGGGCGGAGTTTTCCTATACATTAGACATTACTCTGAATGGAGGTCAGCTTTGTGTACATACTGAATGCAGAAATGAACACCACACCACTCACTCCAATGAAGCAGATATGACCAGTGTCCTAAGAGCACCTCTATCCGCAGAATGTTTCCTTGAAGGTCCACTACTGAACAGCCAGATCTCGGAATCTGACACAGAAAGAAGGAAGGAAGGAGAGAGACGGGGCAAGAAGAAGAGGAAGAAGTCACAGAGAATGAAAGAGAGCAGGTTAAAACATGAGAAGTAAGGGGACAAATCTAAGTATCTCTCTTTCGCAGCATAAACTTGTTATAGTGAACTGACATGATGAAAACAGTCCAACCTTACGCTTGGTGTAAATAACAATATTAACAGTTTCCTCTGTCTGGAACCAGTCATATCTATGAAAAGAGGGGGGGGGAAATACATTTTCACAACTTTTTTTCTGGACCATGCTGGTAAATCTAGAATCCTTCATTTAACACATTCACTACCTACAGCTAATAATACTAATTAAGTGTTATTAGTGTATTTGTTTGCAAGTAAAAGCACACAGAAGCATAACCAACCTGTAAAAATTCTTATTAATGAAATTCAAGCATACCGAGGGTGATTGTCTTTCGGCGCTGGAGCAGCTCCTGCTGAATCCAACAACAAAGTAGCAGGAGGAGCAAGACCTAAAAGGCAGATAATCAGCTCTCATCACAGAGCAACTGGATGAGTATTTTGACATTTTAAAACTTTTTTTTAAGGATGCCATACACCTTCATTTGTTATCAACATAACATTCCTTGAATGCATGTTTACATTCCTACCATTCAAGTGGATGCTCTCAGGTTTCAGTGGCTGCGCTGTGGGAGCAAACAAACATCCCGTGAGACGCTGATACAACTGTTACACATGTTGCAGCATATTGTCATTTGTAACTCCTTGTTTTAGGAGTATGTCCTTGTCTATGTGTATCTGTGGAGATTTGCCCATTCAGCCACAAGAGCATTAGTGAGGTCGGGCACTGAGGGCGCAGTCAGCGTCCCAATTCATCCAAAAAAGTGATCAGTGAAGTTAAGTACAGAGCTCTGTGCAGATTTGAGATCTTCCACACCAGCTTTGCCTAAATGTCTAAATGGACCTCACTTTGTGAACAGGGGCATTGCCATGCTGGAGCATGCTTGGGCCTCAGTTCTAGTGAAGTGAATCTGTAATGCTACAGAATACAAAGACATTCTATACAATTCTGCACTTCCAACTTTGTGGCAACAGTTCAGGAAAGGCCCACATTTGGTTGTAACGGTCAGATGTCCACATACATTTGGATAGTGTATACGGAATCCTTGTCCTTATGTACTGTAATGTCGATCATTTACCTAATGGACATTTTTATAAGGACTTGGCCTATACCTTTAACGGCTGTGCTGGCCTTTACCATCATCCTGCCCACCAGACACTCTTTCAACATGGACTCATAATTCACCCAACGGTGGACCTGTCAATGGACATGAAGCACACTGTGTCAACACTATTTGTAAAATTTACTCGGATAAAAATGTTTACACAATCACGAATCACTGCTGCACCTTTAAGTGTTACGCTTTGTATAAGCAATATTGCTACTCAATTAATATATCCACAAACTCCAGCTGCTAAACAGCTTATCACAGCACAATACACAAAATCACTTTGGGGAATATGTACATTTTGTGTTGTTAACATTTTGCGAGTTTGTTATTTACCTGGTCAAACAGGTCAGTGCCATCAGTGCCAGCTGCCTTCATCAGCTCCTCTTCCCCACCAGGGTGGAAATCCATGTATGCGCTCACATTATACACCATACCTGCAGAAGAACACACACAGTTAGCAGGGAGAAATCTGATCATTAGTGTTTAGCAAATGGCTGGTGATGGAGTCTTGTGACAGCTCACAGCTGGGAGCACATCTAAACACTGAAACACTGAACATAGCGCACACACCCATCTGAAAAATCCAGCTTAATCTGACCCGTAATCAGCTGCTCATACACAGCCTGAGCTGGACCAGCTGGTAAAGCAAAGACTTTCTGAATCTCTGCTACTAATGCAACATCACAGACAAGTTATTGTTTTTAAGAAAATAACACAACAGTTAGGAAATTAGGAAATTTCCAAATATTTATTGATTAAATTATTCACGTAATAAGGAAGTTAGAAAATAACTTAACAGGTGGCAACGGTGGTTTACCAGTTAGACCAGCTAAGCCTGAGTTTCGACAGCTAGTAGCTGGTCAGACCAAGCTGGATTTAATTAAAATATATAAAGCACTATTTTGAAAGCACTGTACACAAGGGTGGAACTGAACCCTTTTCAATAAACAATAATCTCCTTTCTGCAAATCAATTCTACAAAATCCAGTAATCTCTAAAAGCAACAACCTGTTGTTGTTCTATAAACAACCTCCGAAATCTGTTTATCCATTACAGAAAATCAGCAGTAAGAAGACAGGAGTGAGGCGGATGACAAGAAATGTGAGTTTCACAAACAAACCAAATTTTTGTTTTGTTTTGTTTTTTTTTTTTAAGAAGAATCCCTGTCTAACATTCATGTTTCCTTTGCGTGTTTAAGGCCTCACCTCTTATACATGTCCAGCAGTCATTTCTTGTGTTGTGTTTCTTTAGTTCCTCTTCTGTTACCTCGATCAGTCTCCCCTTCAGTCCAGTCAGATCACGGCCACTTTTAGTGAGCCGAATCCAGTCCATAAGACTATGACCCGGCTTCAGAGCCACCTAAATATACAAAAGCATTCTCACTGATGGCACTATACGAAATTGATATGAATTCAGGCACAAGGGAGGAAAAAAACTGAGTAAACTGGAAGATCTCTCTAATTTGTACAGGGTGACTGATTACAAGCAGCAAAATCACAGAACAGAATCATAGAATAGAAACAAAATCTACATTAGGAGGCAGAGTGTTAGACACAGGTTGATCTTTGATTAAACAGCCAGCACAGTCATTACAGGAAAAGATCCAGACCTTGTTCCTGGGCTGGCCGGCTGGAGCGACTCTCTGCTGAGAGCTGACTGCGGGGAATGACTGCGAGGGCACGTTCAGCATCTCTGCTCCTCTAAAACAGCTCAAAAGCCGAACAAACACTGCAATTACAACGTTAGATGCAAGCTACGGCAACAACTTTACTCAAGCGGAAATGTCAAGTTCAGGATGACGAAATATTTCTTCCTCAAAGGCAGAAAAGTTGGAACATTTCCCCATCGCACAGTCACCATTCTGAACACTTAAATCTACTCGCCACTTCTCTCAGACCGGCCAAGAGTTTTTCATCCAAATAAGCAGCTACAGGAAACGCACACTGCATACAAACGAACCTGTTTTGTGAACATCATTCTTGTAACTTGTGCCTAATTCTATAACATGAACCCCGGCTAAGGCGCACCAGCCGCGAGCGCACCAATCTCGCGTCACTATTTTGCTGTTTCCAAATAAACGTCGCAGAGATATGACGACACGACACGTTGTAAAACGCCCTCTAGCGTAAAGCTACAGTTTTACTAGATTTTGCCTCTCTAAAATCACTTATAATGCACTTTTACTAAATATTGAGAAAGGCTTAAAAACAATTTATGACGCTTTTATGAAAGTCATATCATTTCTTCATATATATATATATATATATATATATATATATATATATATATATATATATATATATATATATATATATATTAGTTAAATACAGTCTACACAGTATATACATTAGTTAAACATTATACATTAGTTAAATATCGTCTAGACAGTAAGAAATATCACTAATAGCCTGATTATGATGCTGCTTAGGAGTGTGTTATATATTTCATCTAAGCTATTTTGCTCAGTAGATTCATCGTATAATAGATGAAGACATTCTGTGGGATTACTGACCACAAGAGACAATCTGCACTCACAGCACTGTCCATAATTTGCCCTTTATATTTTTGAGCTCAGGGGCATGGTGGCTTAGCGGTTACCTCACACCTCCAAGGTTGGGGATTTGATTCCCACCTCCACCCTGTATGTGTGGAGTTTGCATGTTTGGGGGTTTCCTCCCCCAGTTCAAAGACCTACATTGTAGGCTGCTTGGCATCTCTATATTGTCTGTGGTGAGTGCGTGTGTGCACGATTGTGCCCTGCGATGGGTTGGCACCCTGTCCAGGGTGTCCCGTGCCTTGTGGCCTGGGAGAGGCTCTCTGTCACCCTGTGTAGGATAAGTGGTACAGGAAATGGATGGATTTTTGACCTCTGCACTAGAAACCGACATATTCACAAGCAAAACAGTGACTTTGTGTATTTGCACTATGTAGTCCTGTATGTGTACTTTACATTATGTGTTACACCAAGAAACATTTCGTACCACTGTATACAAGCTATATAGAGGAATGACAATAGACTTGATTGAAATGAAATAAGCTTTGAAGTGAGTTGATTTACTTGAATATCATAATTCATCTTTTTTTCTGTGGAGAAAAAAATCTAAGAAAAAACTGCAGTCAAATTTCAGTTCAAATATTTCACCCTATTTCTTAACATGTAACATGTGCCAACACTGGCTATGTTTACATGCACATCAATATTTTCCAATATTAGTCGGAATTTGGTGATATTCTGATCAGTACTGAGTCATGTAAACGCCACAATCTGATTGCTCGATTCAGTTTAAGACAATATTCTGACTCCCCAAATTCCAACTCCCACCCCTGGAATATGCCAGTTTTAATTGGAAACTTGCTGCATGTAAACGCCTTATTCAGAAAATCCACTGAAAGCAGATATATGTGCATGCTCAGTCAGCAAGGAATTGTGGGTGCTAACAGATGCTTAGTAAGGAAC